CCTGAGGCCAGGCTTAAACTGAAGGCGTTGGCTTGAAACCGTTTCGGCTCTTTTTGCTTTTTGCTTCAAGGGAAACCCGTTGGTAACAATTTCGCCAGGCACGGCAGATGTATCTCCAGCAGCACCCGAAGACGGGCATTCAGTTGAAGGTTGAGGAGCTCATCGCTCCAGGGGAAGCGATCATCCGCTCCGTCACGGACCGGATGCCTGGCCGGCTCGCGAATGCTCTCTTCGGCAAGCTCGAGGAGTTGAAGATTTCAGGGTTTGCGGATGTTGCCCGCTTCTGTCTCTAATCCCCTAAAGTGATAAAGTAGTGATCAACCACTTTGGTACCACCGAAAAGGTTGTTTTCCAGAACCATGCTCAAGGACTCTGTGAGTGTCGCTTGCATGGACGGCACTCCCATTCGCTACAAAATGTCGAGGGACTTCCCTCAGCAAGGAGACAGCGGGTACACCATGGTGGAAGCCGCCGGCGAGGAAATCGGGCGTTTGGTGTGGTTGCGCCCAGACCAGCATGGAAAGGGCAAGCTCCTTTTGGTGTGGCAGATGCCGCACCGCGAGTTCGCACTTTGGGCCACCCTCCAATTCGCGCAGTTTATGGACTCGTTGAAGACGTCAGCCCAATGGTTTTACAAGTACTTTAGCGCCAAGGAGGCCATGAAGCTGGAGAATGAGTTCTACCTCAGCCTCAGCATAACACACCTCAGCAGTGGCAACCCGCTGGTGCCAGCAGCGTCTGACTCCTGCACTTGCGTGGATGTTGGCGAGAGTCTTGGGCTGTGTCATTGGGAACGCTTCGAAGGAGCATTTCAATTGGCAGAGTACCTCAAGGTCTTCCTGGCGAAAGCCACGGGCGAGGAGCTTTGCGCCTTCCAGTCCAAGGACGGGCGCCCGCTGGCGCCCCACCAATGTGTGGTTCGCAGCGACCAGTGGTGCCGGGTTAGAGGACGATTCTTTGAGGCCTTTCGGGTACAAAGGTCTGCCTACCGCCGTTGCAATGGAGGTAGCAATGCCCCGGCCGTTTATGAGAACAATAAGCTAGAGCTTCTGGATGTGCCAAGGTCTGGGATGTCTGGGCGTGTGCGAGCTCCGCAGGGATGCGAGAAGCTCGTCGTCCGCAACACCTTTTGGGATGTCCAAGAAACACGCTGCAGATCCAAGCGGCGCCGCACTGTGTCCTTTCCACTGAGCCAGCCCATGGTAAAGTGAGAGCATTTGTGCCTGAATTGCCCATGGTAAAGTGAAAACGCTTCGATTCGCAGCGGCCTGCTTTCTGGGCAACTGTCAATTTGTCAAGGAATTTGCCACATATACAGATTGGCCTGCGTGACTCGATACAAGTCAGGGATGCATTTCTAAGTAGATTTCCCCTGCTTGGTGTACAGGGCAGGAAAATGTCCATGCCATGTTTGCCGCTGGTAATGTCAGCTGCCAGATGGCCTTCAAAGTGAGTGAGCCCAAAAACCAGACCATTTCTCGGGGAGGCAACTCAGAAAATGTGTACGAATGCCGCTCCCGGAAAGCGACTGGTGCCTTTTCACACGTGCGTTTCTGGTACCACACAAACGGTGATTTTCTTTTGGTCTTCTTTTGAACTCACCTCAAAAAATGGCAACCTCAAAAGACACCCAACTGGTCCTGCAACACGGGCAACGGAGCTGGGGTCTCCTCCAAAGATATGTTGTATTTTGGCGTAGTGAACATATGAAACCATGATCCGAAGATATGTTTTGAGCACTCCAGATGTGAGCCAAGAGAGGATCCCATGCAATCCCTTGAGATCAGGATGCGAGAAGGGCGGTGAGAAGACCTGGTCTGTGGAAGCGGCCGAGATCGTAGGCAGAGGATCATTGCCCCCCCCACCCCAAACAAAGAGGAACAAACCCACTCAGGACATCCCTTTCTGGAAAAAAAACAGGTTGCCTCTTGGAGTTATGCCACGCTGGTCCCAAACCAAGAGCGATGAAAGCATGTTCTCTCGGACGGAAGAATGGATGAGCCTTTCCCGTATAGACCCAGTGTGCACATTATGAGGGTTGCCCAAAGTGGGTATATCTTTTTTGAGGAAATTTGGTCGGGCTTGTTTTAAAGGAATTCACCAATTTTGCAGGGTCTACCATTTGGAGACCAACCGAAGTCTTGCATTCAGATCGCAATCCTCTTGTTCCAGGGACGTCCCAGATGGATTTTGGTATGGAGCCCTATTCCACTTTTTCGCGGAATGACTGCCTTTACAAAGTTATATTGGTTGCAAAAACAACTGCGGCAAGCCGCCGAGTTGACGGGTGGCTTCCTTTTTCAGAGGCAGGGGGACCGCACGCAGGCGAAGAGATCGCCAAGCAGTGTAGGGCAGCTCAGAGTCTGAGAGTTGATAGGGGTGTGTGCTTGTGGAGACTAACCCCCTTTTGCAGTTGTTTTACAAGCCAAAAGGACACCACCAAATTTCTGGGTCCTCTATTCTGACACATACCCATAGGTTCTTGTTTTCACTGATTCGCAGCCAAAGGCCATGGCTCATGGACCTTGCCTTTTCACTACCTCACATCTAGCCGGCCTTCAGGGGGTGATGAGCTGCGATGTTTTGACCAATGGACTCTATGACCACTGTACGGAGTTGACTTGAATCATTAGCGTCGCTCGCGTGAGCTCGTGGCACATTCCAGCCGCACCCGCCCCTGCGCTCCCGAGCGGATGGGGAGCGGAAGGATGCCGAGCCTATCCCCAAGAAAACAACTTCCGCGATCGGAAGCCACCAGAGTGTATTTAGGTTTCGGTCTGGTTTCCCTCTTCTGACCAAAAGGGTATTCCCCCCCCCTCCCAAAACAAGAAGGCACTCACATCTAAGTGGGTGTGTCTTTTTTCGAGGGTACCCCTTTTTAGGGTTGGTTGAGAGGAAGCCAAAGAGAAACCCGTTGCCATTTGGGGGGGGGTTCTGATTTTTTTGCAAGACCGCAGGCCTGGACAAGGGCATCACCATGGTGGTCTTCGACCGCGGCGGCTTCCGCTACGAGGGCCGCGTCAAGGCCGGCACCGGCTCGAGGCCGTGAGGCCGTGAGGCCGCCTGGCTGCTCCAATTTGCAAGCTCCTTGGGTGCGTTCTGGGGGGTCAGGCCCCAGAATTCCTGTCCGGGCAGCCTGTCACCAGCTTCAAAACTGGGACTGCTTCATGCCGAGCCGAAAGTCCACTTCGGCATGTCCTTGTTCGGGGTTATCCTCTTTGGAGTTGGAAAGGGACACCAAGACGGAACCAAAGTTGCGCCGAAACATCTCATTTGCCTGCGAACATCATGAGATTCGTGCCGCTTTGTGTCCTTTTTCTTAAATACGTACTTTAGTCATTTTGCTTGTTTCTTTGAGAGACACACAAACACGTTTGACCAAATGCCGGGAGTCGCTTCTCTCGGCAGGCTCTGGCGGAAGCTGCGCGGAGCGGCGGGCTCCAGCAGCGGGGCCCAGGTCAAATTTGGATGCCTTTCGCCTCCCAGTTGTCGCTTTTCTATTTGGGTGTTTCTCAAAATTGGATTGCTGGTGGCTTCCCTTTAACGTCCATCCAAAAGAGGGTCCACCATTTTGAGAACCGCCCCATTTGGCTGGGCTAGAAGGGAGGCTAGTTGCACAGCATCCCAAAGGACAGCCCCGAATGGTTTTCATTTTGACCAGGTTCAAGGAGACTTGGCGATGGACCCTCAACTGCATGAAATGCCACTGAAATGGGAGATAAACACGTGGTGCCTTGCAATGGAGGACATTGTCAACACATGGGCTGTCTTGTCTCCTAGTAGAGGTGGTTTCTTTCTAACTTCTCCTCAAAACAACCCAGATCTCAAAAGACGCACCCAAACATCATCAGCAGCAGCTCACTTTGGGCTTTCATGATGCCGCCATGTATCTGTTGAAAGGCCCTCACGCTTGGCTGCAGCCAGTTTAGCGGCATTTGACTGCTTCATGCCTCAAGGAATCAGTGGTTTCATGCACTATGCTGCCCACAGTTGCACAAGGTGTCTATGTCCAGGCGTCCTCTTCTCTGTAGGACGGTCTCCGAATACACCGAATACGCTGCATACGACAAGATGTCCTTGATGTGCGAAAGGCGTGTCCATCAGGCTCCGGGTCCCGGGTCCCTCAGATATTGCTTCTTGGATATTTCCTCAAATGACGACATTCTTTTCAAGTTAAACACTACACGGGCCAACTATAAGAAGGATGCAAGAACCGGTGTTGGCTGTTGGATCCTTTCTTTCAGACATGGAAAAACAGCCGCAGTTGCCAGCTAGGCTGAGGTTCGAGCCAGCCAGTGGCGTGGTATGCCCTCGATGAAATCGAGAAAAGTTGGGTGCATTTTGATTCGATCAAGTTGATCGTCTTCTCAAAGGACAGTAGTCTTCCAACCTCCTGTCAGATTCTATGATTGTTGGGGAGAGAGTAGCCCGTAACATGGAAGTTGATCATGTTCGATGTAAACTCCGGATGTGAGTGGGGGATTGTGATGTTATCAGTTATCACGTGCTTGGTTCATATCCAACCAGCAAAGGGGTGAGTGAGGCAAACATCTTCTCTTCTTGTGACAATCTATGTAGGAAAGTCCATGCCAGGATTTAGCTCAAAGCGCCATGTGGACCACGGTACTTGCCACTGCCCGCTATGATTGACCACCACGCTCGCCGGCTGAGGTTCTGAGAGGCCCTGCGCGAACGGTGATCCAAACAAAAAGGGGCTGTCGTCAAGGGCTGGAGTCAGGAGTCTGATAGAAGGTTCCGACCATAGGGTTGCCTTTTGGTTAGGTAAAGCCATGTGGTGTTTGGGGTAGAAAAGAACCAGAGCCCCAGACTTGACCAGAGTTTGGCTTTTCGACCGCCCGGATGGCCATTTTTTTGCTAGGCTGGGTCCGGTGGCACGGCATGGAATGGGCGAAGGGGTTCCATTTGTTTTCGCCGGAGCCAAAAAGCCGAGGAGTTCATTGGCTTCGCACCATGAAACGTCCAAAGTTCAACCTGAAAGTGGTGAGCGCACAAAGTGAAGCCACTTCGCTGATTCACGCCTGGCTCTGCCACCATGGTGCCGGATGCAGGCAGGGAGATGGACAATGTGCCAGGTTTGTCGTGGCCACCTTCACAAGATGTGTTTTTCGGGCACGAAGAAGTCGCCAGCAAAGAGCAGCTCCCCCGGTTTTCCCATGCCAGGACCCGCACCGAGGCTCACCTGCCAGGCGGAGGGGTCCTGCGAGTCTTTGGGCAAAACTTATCCCAAAATTTGAAAGGGAGCAGGAACGTGTTGATGCCCGGATTTCTGAGAGCTTTCGGTGAAGTGTAGAAGGGCCGGGGTGGCTCGCTTTGTTGTTGGGCGGCTGGTTTTGAAGTCTCTTGGCGTCTTGGCTTGGTATCCCAGATTCCTGGGCACAGGTAGGTAGCGGGGGTGAGAAAAGGAGGGATGATTTGATGCTTGTATCGGAGTCCCGGGAGAAAAAGCTACGCCTACGGGAATTTTGGACCTTGCGTTGGGTCGTCTGAGGTGTCCAGCACGTACCCCGGATCCCTGAGTGCGGATGGAGCAGTGGAAACCGTGCTTTAACGAGGTGTGAAAACTGGCTGAGAATTGCAGCCGTTGGCGCAACTCCAAGCTTGTGGACCGCGTGAAATTGAATGCAGGCGCGTGTGGCGGGCGTGCCGAGCTCGGAAACCTGAATTCGAGCAATGCCGACATCCCATCACCTGCCTGGTCCGGTTCGAGCCCAAAGTGCCAAGTAGCATTGCTCCTCAAAACTGGCAGAACTTTCTGTTTGGGGCAGGGCTATGCGAGGCTGCGATCTCGCACTAGGGGGCCGGCCAAGAACATTTGAGTCGTTTGTCAGGTGCCATTCGCCAGGTTCGCTTTTCCTGCTGATGGCGCTTGCAACGCAGTGCACCTTTTTATTCGCTATTTTCTACCCAATTGTTCCTTTGTATCGATCTATACTCTAGTTACTCTGTTATGATTTTCGAGGAACTCGGCCGTCCTCAATCAAGGAGCCTGATGGGCAACAGAAATTCTGGGGATTCTGGGTCAACCCAATTGCTGCATTGTTGCATAAGTGCATGTTAACATTTGAACAGGGTTTGTCGATTCAGCAAAGGCCTCACAGATTGTTTGGAGAGTTTGCATGCCATCAAACAGGACACCAACATCGAACCTGCTGTCGAAAGGAAGGTCTGCGCCTCCAAAACTGAGCGACTCACAGCATGCATCTATGAGGGATATAATATATACATATATATATATACACACTGTAGAACTATATATATATACATGAAGGATAGATAGGTAGATACATATGTATATATATATATACACACATGTAGGTGCAATAAGTCTCGTTGAAGTTTCATTTGGGCCCAGGCGCGCGTGGCCGTCCTGGTCGGCACCTGAGTCTCTAATAGCTCTGGGTTTGTGCCATGAACAGTCATAGTCCACCTGGTAAGGATCCTGAATCACCAGTATCATAATGATTCCTGTTCGGGGAACAGTGACCATAGACCCACCGCTCGAAAAGGAAAGTCTTCCGAGCGCCCACCTTTTTGAGATGCTTTGGCCTTTTCAAGCGGAAAGAGGAGGCTTCATGCGCACCGCTCAAGTGGTTCAGTAGAAACGCACAGTCGAAGCAGCCCCACATGTGCAAGTCTTGAAAAGTGGTGTCTCCGGCAGACCCCCAACGACTCGCCAAAGGCAGTATCTAAAAACCGGATCAGAATGCCCAAGCATGACAGCAAGCTTTGTCCGACTGTCCACGAGTATAGCTTCAATCTGCAGAGCTTTGCCATGATGTCTGGACATTGTTTCCCAGAGTCGAGTGCCTTGCATACACCATTCTGCCAGGCCGGTGTTGCCAGCGTGCTGCTGACTGCCCGATGGATCAGTGCAGACCTCGGAGAACATGCACTTGGTTTTGTTGCCCAAGAGCTTGACAGGTGATTTGCACTTTCACGTCTCAGGAAAGTTGCTTTGCACTTCACGCGGGCTGGGCTGCACACTCCTATTGTAGTTCTTCCAACCTGGCAAAGCAGAATTGCTGATGTTCCGCTTTTGGGATCGCTTCACACTTCCTCCCAGATAGAAGGTCCTAGCAGGATCGGACGTATCCACGGCATTGGTCTGCACAAAGAGTAAGTTCACCTGGGGCTAAAACGAGCTCACCCATGATGTAGGTCCCTTAGAGATTACTTGATAATGGTCGTTGAAATGAGTTTAATTCGACCAGATGGATAGTCCTGCCTGCTGGCCCCGCTTTGTTCTGGATTGGCGAATGATATCGATGCAGATTGATGGGACCGCTACTCTGAGGTAGTGACAAGCGGGGAGCTCAGAAAGCCGTGGCTGGTGCCCCCGTTCGTCGAGGCAGCAAGAGATGTCGGAATTCTAAAGCCTTGATCAGCCAACTTTTTGAGCACTGAAGTGGCACCCAATGGCAAAGCGCCAAGAAACGACGCCCATGTCAATGGCATATTTTGCGAAGTGCAGCTGCGAAGCGGTGGCGCTGCGCCCAGCAAGGCACACCCTGTACCTGCTTCCCTTCGGAAAGGCAAAGCAACATGAAACTTCCCTGGCTTGGGTTTGTCTTTTTTTGAGTGCACCTTTGTGGGTTTAAATGGAAACCAGAAACACAACCTTTTTTTGGAACCTGACAATCTCAGTTTGTGAGCAAAAAGGCTGCCACATTCTAACCACATTCTATGCAAGTCAAGCGCAACCGATACATGCAAAACAGACCATATCACATGCAGTCTACGACTCGTTTGAGGAGCACGTGCGGGGCTTGTCCAATGTGCCGTATTTTCGCATGGAGGGTTCGGTGGGGGGGCGGGGGGGGGGTCGAAATAAACCATTTAGTAGTATTGTCCGTTTGCTCACAGGTGCTTCCAGGAAGTTATATGGGGGCTAATTCACTGCCAACATTTGTTTGGGATGACAAGGACTTAATTTTGGTTTTAAAGAGTCCCAGGCTGCAACCCTGCAAGGCCCCGCAAGCCCATTCCAATGATTGGCCTTTCTTAACACGCCGCCCTGCACCAGGCCAGGCTCGGTTTTCGTGCTGCCGCGGACCCTGCGAGAGACCCAAAGGCAACTCCCGCCGTGCGTGACGACCAGTTTTGAAGACAAGGCCTCCAAGAAAGTCAGCGAAAGAACGGAGACAACTTGGAGAGCGTATTCTACAATAAACGAGCTGATTTGGAAATTGAAGCTGGGAAGGCATGAAAGAGCACCCAGAGTCCTTTAGGCATGTTAAAAATGGCTCTCTGATGGGATTCTTAGGCATCCACTTGCCATTTTACTGCCTTTGATTGATGTCCCTAGATTGGCAGCGTCCTTTTGTAAACACGGCCAATGCAAGAGGCTTGCAGAAGACAAGGGGCAGATTGACGTTCAGGGGATGGTCCCAACCATTGGTGCGCTAAGCCCTTCTGATTCTTTTGCCTTTGGTTTTGGGACTGTACTGAGTTTCGATTCTGGGCTGAGAATCTGAGAAGTAGCGCCATGACGGGGATGGCACCAGCGGGGCTTTCCACGATGGGATGTGTGCAAGGATTCCAGGCGTGCTCCACAAGTTTGTGAACCATCATTTGCCAGTTGTGGAAGCTGTTGCTGCATAGACGAAGCCCATGCTCAAACTGCCGGGGAGGCTTCCCTCTGTAGCCTTCACCAGTTCCTCGACTCGATCCATGCCGCTTCAGGCCCGTGACACCTGCGCAACCTACGCAGACGCCGCAGGCGGCGGGCTTTAGGGCAAATCAAGTCGCCACCACACTGCAACCGATTTCACCCATGAAAAAGGGTAGTTTGGTTGGTGTTCCTGATTCAGAGTGGTGAATTATTGCAATCCTCCCAGCTGCCATCCGCTTTTCTTTTTTTTTGACCCAAACACAAATTCACAGCCCGTGTTTCGGTGTGGAAGGTAATTATTGCGTGCCATCCAGCACTACTCACAAAGGCAGACTGCTGGCAAATGCGGAAGGTTTGTATTAACCAGACGAGACATACGGCTGACGGGCCAAACGCGTCCGCATGCCATGCATGGAACTATGTATCTAGTCTCGTTCCCACCTCTTTTAGGCGAGTGCCCGATCATTTGTGCGATCATGTATTTATGTTTTGTGCTGAAGGCACAACACCCGTGGTGGAGCACACATTTGTGGCAGATCGCGAAAGCGGCTGGTTCACGGTTGTGTGGCATGGAGATGGCGAGATTTGGGAGTAAGACGACCCTTTTCCTTTTTGATAGGCTTTGAGAGGTAGCAGCACGCAACGTGCCTTTTGGCAGTGGCTTCCTTGGTAAGTCCGTTTGACCCAACTGAATCCCCCTGTGTTTGGACTTGCCTATACTGTTGGGAAGCTTATGTCGAAATACAGCAAGCTCCTACTTTGTTTAGCTCATCCGGTCAGGAGGTGAGGGCTCCCTATATTTCCCCTTGTGGTTTTGAACATCACTGTTTGGGACTCTCTGAAGTGTTTTCCCTTTGTCGGGGTGATGTGCTTTCCGGAGTATTATAAGGGGTGAGACAAGCACTCAGCGTCTTGGCTCGACCTTGCCAGGGGTATCCGCGGGAGTCTGGCCGCTCCGCGCGCAGCTCAGAGCGCCAAGGGTTCAGGCGATTCGCAGTACCGAGGCTTCGTCCAGCTCCTTTGCATTCCTTGGAATGTGTCGGCGCCTCGGGTGAGGTGCAATTTGCTTCAGCTCAGCGTGTTGAATGGTTGCAACCGCAACATAGGTTCTAGCTTGGGAGTCTTTCTGATTAGATTATACTACGATGTACCCCAAACTCGTTGAAGTGTTTAGCTTTTGACAAAGTCGTTGGTCTTAACAACGAGTTCAAAGCATCCGCCTTCACCTTGCTCCTTGCGAAACTGTTGCTGTCAGGTGCTGCCTGTGGTGTGCAGATTGTGTCGAGGGTAACACGCAGTGGCAAGTTCAGTGGCGTGCTCAGACGCTTGCACGGCCTGCAATCTTGCTAGCCTCGATTTCTCCACACCAAGACCGGAAGCCGAGCAAGCAGACGGATTGGAATCATCCACGACTGGGATATCGCATCAAAGGCGCGGGGTAGATATGATCCTGAAAGTTCCAGTCAACCTGAGCCATTCCCATGCTCCGTCAATTTGGCCAGGCGCTCCTGGCTGGAATGGCTCCCCTCACACCTGGACGGACCCCATCCGGTGGCCGGCGCCCTTGGGACAGCCTGAGATGGCAGCAGCAGCGGATCGGTTGAGATGATGATGACAACAGCAGCTACAGCAGCAAAAGCAAAAGCACCACGACAACGGCAACGAGAACGACAACGGCCACGACTGCGATGGCGACAACCACAACCACAGCCTCAACCACAACCACAGCCACAACCACAGCCACAACCACAGTCACTACCCCCAACCTCAACCTCAGCCACAACCACAACCACAGCAGCAGCAGCAGCAGCAGCAGCAGCAGCAGCAGCAGCAGCAGCAGCAGCAGCTGCAGCGGCAGCAGCAGCAGCAGCAGCAGCAGCAGCAGCAGCAGCAGCAGCAGCAGGAACAGCAACAGCAACAGCAACAGCAACAGCAACAGCGGCAGCGGCAGCGGCAGCGGCAGCGGCAGCAGCAGCAGCAGCAGCAGCAGCAGCAGCAGCAGCAGCAGCAGCAGCAAGCAAACAGAAGAAGAAGAAGCAGAAGAAGAATACGCCAACCAACCAACCAACCAAACAAACAACCAAACCAACCAACCAACCAAACAAACAAACAATCAAACATGAAGGCAAACAAGCAACCAAGCAAACAAGCAATCTCGTTGCCAAGCAAACAAGCAAACAACAATAAATGAACACACACACACACACAACAAACAAAACACACGAGAGAATCAAACTCTACAAGCAAATATCCCCCGCCCCCCCAAAAAACACAAGAACAAAAGTCAAACAGCCAACCAACCAACCAAACAAGGAAGCAATCAAGCAGGCAAGAAAGCAAGAACGCAAGCAAGCAAGCAAACAAACAATCAATCAAACAAACAACACAAGCGAGAAATAATCAACCACACAAACAAAGAAATAAGCACACAACCACAAAAGCACAACCACACACACAAACATACACAAAGACACACGCACACAAACACACAAACACACAGCCGCACAAACACAAACACACACAGACAAACACACGCACACGCACACACAAACGCACAAACAGACACACACACACACAAACAGACACACGCGCACACACACACACACACACACCAGCACACACAGACACACACACACACACCCACACACACACCCACACACACAGAGAAGCACAACCACAAGACACACACGCACGCGCGCGCCAACACACCAAACAACACGAGACACACACAAGCACACAAACCCACAAGCACACAAACAGGCAACTATACAAACACAGCACATAAACACACAAACACACGAAAACACAACCACACAACACACAAACACACAATTAAGCGCACGAACACACAAAAACAAACAAACTCATACACAAAGCAAGCAAGCAGGCAAGCAAACAAAAAGAAAGGAAGGAAGGAAAGAAAGACAGAAAGACAGACAGACAGACAGAAAGAAACAGCAGGGCGGCTGCTGCTGATTCTTCTCTTGCTGCAGATGCTGCTGCAAGGGTATTAGCGGCAACGGCCACAGCGCAATGATAGCAAGACCAGGACACTATCGCAACGACAGTAGCAAGTTACACTGGCCAACAACACGGACTTCTTCAATGACAGCCGCAAAGGCAACAACAAACACGCCAGGAATTTACTTGGCAGAATCGTCTCGTCACTCAGGGTTCATCGCTTCCGCCGCAGAATCCACATCCGCCGGAAGGCCTGGAATGCCTGTATGCACATTGCCACTTGGGACTATCTCAAGTGGGAGGAGTGCAAATTGAGCTCTGTATTGAATGCCAGCGTGTACATGAAGCCCACAGTTTGATGTCGCGCAAAGCATCCTAAAGTTCCGCAGAAGCTTTTTAGCAAGACAGGAGTCGTTTGTGGAGTCTCCATTTTCCCTTGCCAGCGCAGGTTGAGGGTACGCCGGCAAGACCGAGACTTGCCATCTACCGATCCCACATGCACATGCGGCTGCCTTGGACTGGCGCAAGTTGTTGGACTTGGGATAAAGTGGGGAAGAGCAATGCACGTGGGAACATGACGGGTATGGCAGTCTACGATGCCACTGTGACCGATCGCCCTGGTTGCTGTGGTGTTATTCCTGCTATCTTATCTGTTGTTTGCAAGATGCCGGGCTCATGAGAGCTTGACCCATTGGTTTTTTCGCTGTTGGCGAATCATGAAGTTGACTCAACTCCAAAACACAGAAAATCAAGTTGCCACGATATGATACCAAGGCATGCCAGCGTTATCGACGACACGCACGGCACTGGCATCACAATGGTTCAGGCATTGCAGCCCTGAGAACTGGCAAGGGAGCTATACACTGATACTCTGGGTGCCAAATGCCATAATTTGTGCTTTGTCCAAATGGACGCTAAAAGCGGGTTGGTAACTTTTGAAATTGTCCAGAACGCCTATTAAGCACCCCAGTACTTGGTCCTATGGGCTTTCATCAAGTCCTGACCTGCATGGAGAGTTGTACCGCTTGCTCGACTCAAAACAAACTTGGCTGGCTAGTGATCTCTAAGCCAACAAGCCAACCTCCAAGTCGAGGATTCACCCTCATCCGGCAGCTGTCGCCTTTGGCTGTTCAGCGAGTCAACCACGGTTGTTCAAAACGGATGGAATGCGAGATTCTCCGCTTGGAACGCGTGACGAGACCGCGGCAAGTCAGCGAGACTTTCGGGGATTCAAGCGGATGCGCGTCAGGTGACATCCAAGCAGACTCCTTCCCTGGAGAAGCTGCGAGAGAAGCAAGGCGAAGCTTGCCTGGCGGGGAGGGGCAAGCAGCAAAGAGCCAGGGTCAGTATTGATTGCTCTTCTAGACGACACTTACAAACGTAAAACCGCCATGGGTAAAGGGGTATGAATGTATGCAGTGTATATATATATATACACATATACATATATATATATATATGTATATATCAGCGCCTCCGGCTCAGGCCGCCGACATCACAAGGTCGTTGTATTTTGTGGGTGGGGGGGGGGTGGGGGGGGGTGGGGGTGGGGGGTGGGGGGGTGGGGGGGGGGGGTGGTGCAGGAGGGTGCGGCTGTTGCCGACCCGCATCCCCAACATGCCAAAGTTTGTTTCCGCCGGGGCCTCCTGTGGAAGATTGATGGAAAAAACATGGGAAAGTCATGGACACTTCATGGACAGTTCATGGAAAGTGCATGGAACGTTCGTGGAAAGTTCATGGACACTTCCTGGAAAAATCCTGGGCCTAGCTAAGTTTTTAAGATTGTAAGCCAATCATATTTTCGGAGTTTAATCCATGAGGAGTTTCACGTCTTTAGCAATTCATATTTTTAATATGTTCAACCATGAATATTTTAACACGTTGCGCCACTAAGATTCCATGACTACTTTCAGACTTTCAGCCATTAAGATGTTTTCACACGTTAATCCACTAAGGTTTTAAGATTGTAAGCCGCTCAGATTTGCAGAGTTTAAGCCGTTAGGATCTTCATGTGTTCAGCCATCAATATTTCTAAACATCGTAATGGCTCAGCATCTTGGATGCGACAAGACACACAATGTCCAGATGATGCCAGTGGTGCTGGCGATGCTTGCGATGTTGCGCTGAAGCTGCAAGGATGCAACAGGGAAATGGTGCCCCTGAAGAGGGGAGGGGGAACAGGTAAAGAAGTGAGGAGCATATTTTATGTCCAACACGCCGTCTGTTGTCGTTAGAACGAGATTAATTGGGAAGGCTCAATGATCTGGAATTTGGTGAATGCCCTGCCATTCTACCACTAGAAATTCGAATGATGTCTATCCCATGTTGCCTGCAAACCACAGAGTTTTGCACCGTGCCTTGTGGCCCCTTTGGTCCTTTCCCGTTCATCTTTGTGCGTATGTTGCGCCTCTCTCTGGGAACGAAGTCTGCTGTCCAAGCATTCACTTGTTGCGTTTTAATCTCTACAGTGAAGGGCTTGGACAACCTTTAGTCCAAGGCGACTGCGTCCAGTGTGATGGAACTGTACCTGTCGATAGACGTTGCTTTTAAATGCTGGGGAGGGTGGTGTTGTTGGAGATTCGCTGTTAGACTACAAACAATTCTGCGTTTTGCAGGATTTATTTGAGCACTGAATGCTTGTTGGTGTTCGGATGATGCTGGCGATTCTAGCGATGGTTGATGTTGGGGATGCTCGCAGCGTTGCTCCAGAAAGGTAATGGGTGGCTGTAGCTGTGGCGTGCATGTTTTCATCGTTGTAGTTCTGGTGTTGGTTGCGGTTGTGATTGATAGCAGAGGCGGCAGCAGCAGGAGAAGTGCTTGTAGTGGTAGTGGTAGTGGCGGGCACAGTGCTGTTGCCATCGTCTTAGTAGATGCTGCTGCTGCCTGTGCAGTAGTATAGTCATCATAGTTGCTGTTTGTTGTTGTTGGTGGTGGTTTGTTGGTTGGTTGGTTGGTTGGCTGGCTGGCTGGCTGGCTGGCTGGCTGGCTGGCTGGCTGGCTGGCTGGCTGGCTGGCTGGCTGGCTGGCTGGTTGGTTGGTTGGTTGGTTGGTTGGTTGGTTGGTTGGTTGGTTGGTTTGGTTGGTTGATCTTTTTTTTGCGTGTTTGGCTCTTTGTTTCTTGTTTGTTTGTTTGTTTGTTTGTTTGTTTGTTTGTTTGTTTGTTTGTTTGTTGGTTTGTTTGTTTGTTTGTTTGTTTGTTGTATTTTTTGTTTGTTTGTTCGTTTGTTCGTTCGTGTTTTTTTTCTTTTTTTTTCCCGGTTGTTTTTTGTTTGTTTGTTTGTTTGGTTGGTTGGTTGGTTGGTTGGTTGGTTTGTTGTTGTGTGTAGTTCTTTGTTGTCGGGGCGAAGATGGCTGCCAGGATGCGAGAAGGGCGGCGAGAAAACCTGGTCGGTGGAAGCGGCCGAGATCGTAGGCTGCTGAAAGGGGGGTGTAGTGACCGCGGCCTCGGCTGGTTTTGGGCAGCGGGTGGGGAAGGGCGGGGGAGAGCAGAGGGCATTCCCTTTGCAACAGCGGTTGGACAGCTGGATTGTCTTCAGGGAGAAAAGGTATCCAGTTGCTTGTCATAGATTGGCTTGCAGAAACAGAAGTAGCAGCCAATTGTGCAAGGCTGATTTCACAAGTTGCCGTTTTCAATGTTTGACGCATCGACGCTCCTTCCGCTGAATGCACCAAAATCTTGGAGGCTGGACAGTTGACCCTCGCTTGATGCCCTGCAAATTGACATGTAACTCTAAGAGGGGTGCCCCAAAAGGAGTTCTTAATGGCCAGTTGAGTTTCACGTTCATGCGGGGAGCATTTGAGCATCTTTCTTCTTGTGCGCTCAACCACTGTGAGGCGAAGAGATCGCCAAGCAATGCAGGGCTGCTCAGTGACTTTGACAACTCCCCGCCAAGAAGCAGCGGTGTCACGAGCCCTTGGGTCACTGGCGGTTGCTTTAGAGCTGCGATCTTTGGGCTGCAACTGCGATGTGATATTGTTGGTCTTGCTAATGAGAGAGGACCAACAATCCCTGCTTGATGAATAGGGCAAGGGTGAGAGCAGTGTCACATCACTTTCTTGGGGACACCCCAAATTCTCGTTGATTCATGCGGGGGATCATGTTGCTTGGGGTCCCCCAATCCCCCATGGCCCCTTTTTCTCCAGTTCAAGCAGGGCACCCTCGAGAGAAGACACCTTTTCCTTGCAAGGCCTTGACAAGGGCATCACCATGGTAGTCTTCGACCGTGGTGGCTTCCGTTACGAGGGCCGAGTGAAGGCACGGGATTCGGGGGCTATTTGGGAGTTGCTTGGAAATGGTGCGACAAATGAAATGAAACGAACCAATAAGTGAAATGAAATGACATGAACTGAACTGAGATGAAATGAAGATAACCCAAGTGACATGAAATGAAGTTAAATGCAATGGAATGGAATGGAATGAATATATATATATATATATATATATATATATATGCATGCATGCATGCATGCATGAATTAATGAATGAATGAATGAATGAATGAATGAATGAATGAATGAATGAATGGATGGGATGGGATGGGATGGGATGGGATGGGATGGGATGGGATGGGATGGGATGGGATGGGATGGGATGGGATGGGATGGGATGGGATGGGATGGGATGGGATGGGATGGGATGGGATGGGATGGGATGGGATGGGATGGGATGGGATGGGATGGGATGGGATGGGATGGGATGGGATGGGATGGGATGGGATGGGATGGGATGGGATGGGATGGGATGGGGAGGAAAGGAGGCATGAAGTAAGGAAGGAAGCAAGGAAGGAAGGGAAGGAAGGGAAGGAAAGGGAAGGGGAGGGAAGGGAAAGGAAGGAAAAGGAAGGGAAAGGAAGGGAAAGGAAGGGAAAGGAAGGGAAAGGAAGGAAAAGGAAGGGAAAGGAAGGGAAAGGAAGGGAAAGGAAGGGAAAGGAAGGGAAAGGAAGTGATCGAAGGAAGGAAGGAAGGAAGGAAGGAAGGAAGGAAGGAAGGAAGGAAGGAAGGAAGGAAGGAAGGAAGGAAGGAAGGAAGGAAGGAAGGAAGGACAACTACGATTCCTGCAGGGCATGCAAGTTTGTCTTCCGGGGTCCGGACAAAAACTTATCCGATCAATATCCAGAACGATTCTGTGAACAATGCCTGGCAATAATAATCCTAGCCAATGAACAAGCCCATGTGCTGCGCCAAGCCTACTGTTCTACCAGCGCTGCCTGCTAGCTGCCAGTTAGAAGTTTGTAAGTCCTCCAAAATGCCACGTGCCTAAGGAATATGAAAGCTAAGTTACACATGTTACACATGTAGAACAACACTCATACAGCCATATGCATATTCGCATGAAATGTACGTTTATGCGTGTACATATAGTTCAGCCAGCCCCCTATGACCCCTCCCTCCCCCCTTGTGGAATGGTGGGTGGAGTCTGGTTGGAGTTTAGGGTTGGTTTAGGGGATGGTTTAGGGTTGGTTCTAGGTTGGTTTACGTTCGGTTTAGGGCTGGCTTGGGCAATCTTGAAGGGTTGATTTGAAATGTGTTGTGGGAACACTGTGTCGGGCCTTTGGAGTGGGGCTTGCTTGCGTTTGGTTTGGTCTTAGTTGGTTGGCTTGCTCATAGTACCTATGAAAAATCAGGGTGGTCCGGAAATTCCGGGGATCAGGGTCAGAAAAGGGGTCCCAAGGCTTTTTGCCTCAAGGTTGTTTCTCCAAACCTACTCGGATACAGGAACTGTTCAGTCAATATGTGCAGAGGTCAAGCTTGGTTGTTGTAGATGTTATAAGCAATTCCCGCAACACAGCAAGCGCGCGAATGCGCATACTGAAAGAGCCCCAAAACGAGAGACAGGGGTCCAGGGGGTCGTGAAGAAAAAACAATGAACAATCCAATTTTTTTGAGGTCGACCCGGCGAAAGTCCGCAGAGGATTGCGCGAGTTAAACAAACTCGAGTTTCAGGGTCGACCCACCCAGCTGCCCGGGGGCTTGGGGGGGGAGGGGGGGGGAAACCATGCGGGGTGGCAAGGGGGGGCGGGGGGGTAGGAGGTGCACGTTGCACGCTTTGCGCAAATACGAGTATTTACATACACATGTGTACAGACAATCTCAACCGTGTTCCCTTCAAAGAGCCCTTTGAAGCATCACAACCAAACACGTACTGTGGATGGACGAAATCCTGCACCACTTTGAAACCAAGGGAAACCATTGTTTGTTGGTATTTACAGGCCAAGCATCAGAAACGAGGGTTTCTTAGGTGCGAAATGGATTTCGCAACCATCCACAGGATCTTTCACGAGAGGCTTTGGCGGAGGCCGCGCGGAGCGGCGGCCTTCAGCCGCGGAGCCCGGGGATGGCTTTGGCGAGGCTGATGGCTTGGGGTGCCGATTTTTTTTGGTTGGTTTTATGGGGAAACACAACTGGGAAGCCTGTGAATTTCAAGAGTCGGAACCTCCAAAGGACAGGTGGCCAGTTAAGTTCGCGCCCACGTCCGGATCAGGCCAAACACAGGTTTAAAGGGGCAATCTCCACATGTCAGGTTTTTGAAACGGTTACCCGCTTTGATGGAAGCTGAAGGGCTTTGGAATGCAGTCCTCTTGAAGCTGGAAATGATGATTTGAAAGCGGGAATACGACATGGGGTGTTGAACAGGCTTTCGGGTGAGCGCAAGTTTCGTCCCTCGCATGGTCGGCACACCAAATGGGAATGGGTCAAATTAAACCACTAGGGACCGCAGGTTTTAGTCCTCGTTTCCATTCACCAGGTTACATGTTAGGTATCATGAGCTCCTTGCTCTGATGACTAGGGTGCAACCTGTGGACACCCATTTTAGTGGACAATGTTGTGTTTGGGATGTCCTTTGGTGGTCCAGAATGGTGGTGGCAGGGTTGTGCAAAAGCGGAAGACCCAGGCTAGAAAGGTTCTTTTTTGTTTTTGTGAGTCAGATAATTCTTTGAACACAGACCTGGTCTGTAGTTTTAGATTTGCCATTTGGGGTGAAACTCTATCTGGAGACTCTCGAATATTTGATTCTCATTAAGCGTTCTGTGCATTTGACAACCAGCGGTCCTCAGACGGTTCGCCTCTACCACCAAAAGGTTGCCACGGCCTCCGAGCAAAAACAAAGGGGGACTTGCAGAAAGGGGAAGCAGAACCTGTCCCAGGGCTTTTCCCTCGGTGCACCGAGCCTTGCGGATGAGCTTAAGATAGGATATGGCAGGTGAAGCAATCTGTGCGTATGCCACGAGCCATGAGCCTTGAAACCTGGAAGGTTTGGCTCGTATGCTGAGGTTCTGAGCCGGGACATGTGCAGTCCCAGAGTGGTGACATTTTCAGGTGATGCGCGGAGTCAAAGCAGCGATGTGCATTTAGACGACATGGGTCTTTGCGCGTTGTAGATATGTAGTCAAGCTATGTTGGGGTGCACATTGGCTGGTACACCATTGCTGGAATTTCAAAACTTTCTCCCGAAAATGGGTGCTGGCTCAAAAGGAAGAAAGACCAGGCCCGGAAAGAAAAGAAAGCAAGAAGCGAGAAATCAAAAAATGCCTGCACGGACGTGGGCTTGAGCCCAGGGGTAGCCCGCGCGCTGAGCGGGTGTGACACAAGCGCACCAAGCGGGCTGGACACCCCCTTCTATGGATTGGTCTACTCTGTGTAGTGAAGCAAGCCACACATCCCTTGGCAGACAAGGCCATCTTTGCAGCCGTGTAGCGCTGCTTTTACTGTACTTTCTCTCAAGCAAGGCTTCACGCAATACATTGCATCTTCTTTGGAAGCAGAAAGTTGAGTTGCTCCGGCACTTGCTCTCCCGCCAAAAAGACAACTGACCCCATACTTTTGTTCCTCCCGCAGTACCATATCGACTAACCACATCCACATCCAAAGGGCCAAGGTTGAACCCCCTGTGCCATGGGCTGATTGCCATCGTAGCCGCCATGGCATCCATGCCGGAAGGCATCTCCGATGCACCAGCGGGGAGAGCTCCCCAAAAAGATTTCGATGGCGCCCTTTTGAACGTAATTTCAAAAGGACCCGCGTGCAGAATTTGGAGTGCTCACCTCCAAAGGCAAGTGCGCGCGTTTCCCGGAAGAGAGGAGCTTGATTCGAGTTCAGTGACACCCTTCCTTGAAGCAATATACATGAACAAGCCGCTGGGCGGACTATGTCATGGTCTGCATTCACGGTGAATTGTTTAGAGTCTGAGCAAATGTAGTCTTGCTCGATGCAGGCTTTCCGGATGTGGACGATGAAGGTCCAGAGGCAACTCCTGGATTGGAGGGCAGAGAGTCAAGTTGTGCAAAAGGCAAAGACAGGTAAGGGCAGAAAAGCAGAATACTAAGAGGCACAAAGACAGAGACAGACACACAATCACACACACACACACCAATCCCCTCACCCCAGCCAGCCTGAGACACAGACACACATCGCATAACACATCATAGCACCAAGTGGACCCAAGTGGACAGTTGCAGGAAGACTTGGAAGAGCTTGGATCGCTCATCTCCTTCGCCAACCTTGAGCACGTAGTCAAGTTGTTGGCTCAGATTATGGACAAGACACTGCGGTTGCCCGCGGAAGATAAACTTGGAGAATTTGCAGAAGCAGGCGCATGGCCAGCAGAAACAGATTGCAAGTGGCTTGCAAGTGAGGCACATCATCAGAAAGTTCAAATCCCTGGAGTGCCCATCTCAGACATGCGGAGAAGGACGGAGTTTCCACTTTTTAAGCTTCCCCTCCGCCAGCAGGCAAGCTGCTGTCAGAAGCGTGAAATAGCTTGCATGGGGTGGTGGATCTGCCAATGCCATAGATGCTAGACCGGTAAGAGCAGAAGTCACCTTCCGGACCGGCCGGAACTAAGGGCTTACAACGAGAGCAACGACGCTGCGATCAAAAGCCTCAAAGGTGAAATCGAGGTGAGCCGGCTTGAGAAGCGAGAGAGAGAGAGAGAGAGAGAAATAAATGAAAAGATAAAGTAGAAAAAAACAACTAGAGAGGGAGAGAGAGAGAGTTGTAGCACGTGGCAGTCACACACTGTTTCATGCAATGGGAGAGCCCTGTCAACATGCCGCTGTCCGAAAAGGCCGTAGGGGTAGCCCCCTTCGATCAGGGCTCTTGTGAGATACGTGAACCCGTTCTGCTCAGCTTCGGGCAACCATCATCGGCCTGGACGAGGCCAGGGGCCCAGTTGGCCTCCAGGCTTGGGCCAGTTCCGGCTCGGAAGCGGGCAAAGCCGCTTGAAGGGAATTCACCACAGGCAGCTCCAAGGAGTTGAGGAGTTGATCCAGATCTCAGGACGGTGATGCGAATTTGTTTGCAACATGGGCCAAACTTTCGGCTTGCTGGCGTCAGCTGGGGATGTATTGGCCTCAAACAAGGCCCACGCATTCCCACCCTTAACCCATCCTGAGCCAATCCCTGGACCCATCCTCGCCGCTGGAAGACTGAGGTGGTCACGGAGCTCAGTCAGCGGATGGAGAGTCAACAAGACGGCCTTCATAGCACAAAGGCCAGAGCTTTGCACAGGTTTGTATGGTTTTTACCACCTCCAAACTACTGACTTTGTGGGGTTTAATGGGTATGAAGCCCGAATTTCCCCTGGAAGTGGTTCGGAATTTTACAAGTTTGCTTTGGATGGGAATGTGGTTTCCTCTGGATGAAATGTTTTGGCATCTTACAAACCTTCATGGATGGGCATGTGGCGGGTAGAAGAATTGCTTTAGGTTGGAAACAGGGGGGGGAAACACATCCCACGGATCTACCAAGCAGGCAAGTTCTCAGGCAAGGCGTCTTTTGTAGGGGGGGCCTCAACCGATCCTAGCAGGATACCAGGCCCGAGACCCGACCCCTGCAAACTGTGCCAGGAAAACATCACCTTGTGCGAGGAGTCGATTGACCGGCTCAAGGCGGGCCCTTGGGTTGCTGTGCAGGGGTCAAGGGGGGGAAACCTTGCCTTGATGGAGCCGATGACTCTTCACGTTGCAGAAAAAGGATGACCCTGATGGGACAATACAAGTGGGTGGAAGAGTTTGCGTCACATGAAGATGACGCGTGCAGCCAACTATTGGAGCGCACTTATCATTGTCACAGAGTAAACGGGTTCACCGGCTCAAGACGGAAAAACCACCGATTCAAGGGGTAGATGTTGGACATTCGATAGCAATGCCGTTTGGGGATTGGAGTGCAATGCCGCAGCATGTGCAGGGCAACCAGACCCAGCTGGAGAAGAAGCTCGACACTGTTGTCAAGGCGCACCTGGCTTATAGACAAACGGGTAAGTGTGAAGTTATTGCAACCAGGGGCCCCTTCTGAATTCATTTGACATTTTGACATGACAAGGAAACTGCAACTTACGAGAAACTCGGCATCTTGCTTGGTGATCCAGTCCTCCGACGCCGGATGCTCCGCTTCGGAGTTGGATCGTGGGGTGTCACTGCGCTTCACACTGACAAATTTTACCACGTGGAGTCTTTCGTTCAGGTTAGACTTGGGTCTGTCTCACAATGGGGCAACCGGCAACCCATAAATCGAGTGGTTTCCATTTGGTTTCCCATTCAAACAAGCTTAAACGGGGGCCTCCAAAAAGGACATACCCGGTTACCCGAGTTTGGAAATCGGTCAGGCACGGACCGGGGGGGGAGCGAATCCCCGCACAGGAGAAGGCCGTGCAAGACAGGTTGATCCGCGAGACCCAGGACGCCCTTCTAGACAAGGTCTCCTTGGCGGAGCTCAACATGTTTGAGGCGGAGTTTTCAACTCGGTCGACTCTCAGCTGGTGCTCCGCTCTTTGCACAGATCAGCTTTGCAAGCTTCCATGAGACACGGGTGTGTCTCCTTTTTTATTGGACCCCTGCGCTCCCTGTACAAGCTTTGCCAGGCGAAATTTGCGGGGTACACCACAAAGTTGGAGCACCAGCAGATCTTGAACGCCTTGAGGCAGGCCCGCGGCCGCGAGACCGTGGCTCACTGCTTGACGCTGCATTTTTTTTCTTTGGGCAAGAAGCCGACCCCATGAACTGCAAGTTCTGACTGTTAGAGGACGCTGTGGCTTGTGGGCTTCGTCCTTTCAAACGACCCCCCCATCTCTCTACATGTGCAAGCCCGCAAGATGGTTCATGTTGTGGTTGCGACCGCCCCGACGCAGTGACTACGCAACCCTGGATGTCGCGGAGCGCATTGCAGAGAACATCAAGGCGCTGTTTGCCAGCACGCAAAGGCTACAGCTCAAGCCAAGCGAGAGGAGCCCACCTTTAAGTTTCGATCAAGGCCCAATTGCCCTGGGTGCCAGCGTGTAGCAGCCAAATCAGAGACAGAAATATGCAGTGAAACTATCACTCTCCTGGAAGCCCTTTCCACAAGCGCTCCATGCAAAGCAGCCGGTCAGACCGTTCACGACCTGTTGGACGTATTTCTTCGTTTCCGTTTCCCCCAGCTCAGAAATTTAGCGCTCATACCAATTGTAGTTCTACATTTAAACTGCTCCCTGTACTTGTGAACCTTGGACGGTTGTACTTAAATTCGTTACTCGGAAAATTGTGGGTTGTGACGTTTTTCATGTCCGCGAAGCGGGTGGCCCATTTGGGTGGCCCATTTGGACGAAGAGGAAATCGGTCGACCCCAAGGGACCCTAGTAATGAATATGTTGTGTCACTGTGTCCCACAAACCTGATTTACTATTAGGGAGGGGGGGGGTCCGCGTTTGTTATTAGGGGGAACGTATTACACACACACACACTCGCACTCACACCCAAGAGTCAGATCCATTCTGTTTCCGAAGTCGTTATGTTCATGGGGACAGCTACAGACCACACCTGATTCTCTGAAGTTCTGCAACTGGCTCACCGTTGTGGCGTTTGCCTCCATCGTTGACAAACACAAGGAGCAATGTTTGCTTTCGAGGAAGCACCCCATTCAAGACTTAAAGAATTCCATCAAGGTCATATTCTTACTGGTGCTCAGCAGGGAATGAGGGCATGACCCTAAACCATCCCTTGTGGTTTGTTTTAAGGGGACCACTTCCTGAGCTCGTTCCCTCATTCCCTATCTATCGCACCAAGGATTCCAGCAAGGGCCTTCGGACTCGCCACTCGTGCGAGGTGCTGTCCACCAGGTTCGACGACTACACCCGCACGGCGAAGCTGGAGCAACAGCTGCAGGAGACTTGCCACGCCGGACCTGGGCTGTCCATTCCATTTTGGAGACGTGCCAAAGCCGAAAGTTGGAGGCATGGAGGGAACTTGTCCCAAATGGGGGGAACAAAGAACCACGCAAAATTCGCGCTCAGAGAGCGCATCGACCTGTTTTGAGCTGTGAGGATTCAGCGGCAGAGTTCTTAGCTATTGTCTGTTCGGGGAGGACATGGAAAGCCCGCCCGAATTTCCTCGCAAATGTTCGCATGTCCTCTCTGTTGAAGAGACTACCTAAATCCCTCTACGAGCGTTTCTTTCCCTTTGGTTTCCCTTCAAAGACATCCCAATTTGTTGTTCACAAAAGGATGGCTAGTTAGAATTCATACCAGTTCGCAGGAAGTGCGTGACTGGGTCGGGGACGAGCTCCAGAACTACGCAAAGGTTGCACAGACCACCAGCCGGGTGCGCCACAAATTCAAAGACGATGTTGCAGGGTGGGCTGGCCGTGGATTGACGGGTACCTTTTTCTGGGCGTGGTTCAGAAACCAACCTTTTGGAAGCTCCCTTCGTTGAGACAGCCGCTCCCTGCCTCCTTACCTGACACCAGAGAACACGCCTCAGAACTGTATCGCCAGAAGGGCTTGAGAGGTTGGGTGGCACAAGGGGTCGAATCCTCTGACACAACCAGACGCTGATTTTCTTTGGTGTTTTCCACACTTCTCGGTGAGCATATCCACATGTGCGATCAAAGTATCCGGCTGGCGATGGTGATTTGGCCACTCGCTAGTTTCCGCAAAGGAACCATGGCCTATCCCACATGGGGCAACCATTCGCCGAGCAAGGCCTGGTTTCTCATGGCTCACAAAACATATATATATATATATATATATATGTATCCAGCCAGTCCATGTGGGAGGAACTTGGGGGAACGACCTCTAAATGTCCAACCACAACCCAATTTGATTGCTCAAATGAATTTCAACCGCGAAAACAGGGAATCACTAAACGTCTCACGTTGTCTTGTCACATGTTGAGTCAGCACTGCGGCCAGATAGAAGAGCTTTCGGTGCACATCAAGGAGCAGTCTTTAGTGTCCGGCTGCCATGCTTGCCGTGGTAGGCAAAATGGAGGACTAGCATGAACAATGCTAGGTGCGTGGGTGAACAGAGACAGCCGAGCCTCTCTGAATCGCACTCAGTCTAAGTGTCAAAACATTCCATTTGTTTCAAGATCACCGATCTAAGTGCACCAGCTGAACTTTCTGCAATCCGCCAGGTTTGACCGCGTTTATGCAACCAACAACGACCAGCTCAGAGGCGCCCGTTTTCGCTTTCCCTTTCCCTTGCGCGGCCGGAAATCCGCAAACCCGTGAGGTCTCTCTGATCGCATCACCTCCATGTACTCGGAATTGGCCAATGACCTGCAGCAGCGGGCCACAGCCTTGGCGTGTCCAACTCTGCCATTCAATCAACGACTCGCGCTAAGGCCATGTACGACGACTTGCAAGAGACGAAGAATAGTCTCAAGACCGGGCGCCTACGTGTTTGATGCTGGATCAGCGCTTTGGGGCGGGTACGATTCTCCATGCACATATATAGATAATACATATATATATATATAACACCTATATGAGCAACTGGCTAAATGACTGGTAGGCTACTGTTAGTTTGGGAAGGACACGAGCCCCACCCATACTTTTCACAGCCAGGGATCTGACCTTTCAGTCAGATTTGCAAGGTTTCACTTTGATTGCCCCAAGGAGACTGAACGCCGGTGGTCGATTTCTAGACAAGGAACCGGGTTTAAGTCTATTTTGGGGAAAAAGATATGGAATCTAGAGGTGGTGACCTCGGGTGTTTATATTTTGCGGTGGTCGCCGCAGAGTCGCAGGAAGTATGCTCTCCGGGCAGAGACGGATGCATTCCAGCAGGCGGGCAAAGATAGGAGCCCTTGCTACGTTTGGGTGGCGGGACTGTCATGGGCACGGTTAAATCACGGTATCTTTCAACTTGATTTCTTAGGATGAGAGCCCCCAAATCCCGCACCAGTTCGCGGGGTCCGTTTATCCTGTTCTATCCCATTCATCTTGCGGTGTATCCGTTTATCCGTTGGTTTACAAGTTGGATAGATCACATCCCGCACCAGTTGTCGGCTTATCCGTTTTTCGGTTTATCCCATCCATTCCAGTGGTTTATCCGTTTGTCCGTTGGTTTACCAATTAGATGGACCATGTCTCGCACCAGTTGGCCGTTTTTCCGTTTATCCGTTTATCCGTTTATCCCACTCATCTAGTGGTCTGTCCGTTTATCCGTTGGTTTACAAGTTGGATGGACCAAATCCCGCACCAGTTGGAGGTTTATATCAGGCGCCAGTTGGCGGTACATCCTTTTCTCGCATTCATCTGGTGGGTTATCCCTCTATCCGTGGGTTTGCCAGTTGGATGGACCAAATCTTGTGTCAGTTTGCGTTTTATCCGTATATCCTATTCATCTAGCATCCGTTTATCCGTTGGTCTACCAGTTGGCCAGACGAAATCCCGCGGCACCAGTTGGCGGTTTATCCATTGATTGTCCGTTTATCCCATTCATCTAGCAGTTTATCCGTTTATCCATTGGTCCACCGGTTGGATGGACCACCGGTTGGATGGACCAAATCCTGCACTAGTTAGCGGTTTATCCGTGTATCCCATTTATCTTGCAGTTTATCCGTTTATCCATTGGTTTGCCAGTTGGATGGACCAAATCTTGTGTCAGTTTGCGTTTTATCCGTTTATCCCATTCATCTAGCGGTTTATCCGTTTATGCGTTGGTCTACAAGCTGGATGAACCAAATCCTGCACCAGTTGGCGTTTTCCTTGTTCACATTCATAATGTGGTTTGTTTGTTTATCCGTTGGATTGCCAGTTGAATGGACCAATTGGATGGACGCAATCCTGCCTCAGTCAAAGGTTTTCCGTTTGCCCGATTCATCTAGTGGTTTATCCGTTTGTCCGTTGGTTTGCCAGTTGGATGACCAACACCCGCACCAGTTGGCGGTTCATCCGTAAGTTTATTGTCCGTTTATCCCATTCATTTAGTGGCTTATTCGTTTATCCCTTGGTTTTGTGAACCGTTGAGTGTTGTGGCACGCCATATCCTGGAGCTCGGGCCCGAGCGACTGCAATTTGCACCGCGTCGCATGCGCGAAAAGGGTTGCGGCCGCGCCGAAGGCTCTTGCGTTTTCTTTTTGGGTTGGAGCCCACCTTTCTTCAGGAGGTCCCCCTTTTGGGATAAGCCCTCAAAATTGGTTGGCGGAGCCTGAGGCACTCGTCCATGGCAGCGCCGGAGGACGGGGCTACAGTGCCTGTGCCTGATGAAGTCGCAGAGGAGAGGCGGCCGCGCCGCTCAGGGCCAACCCCATCGGCAAGATCGCCGGATTCGGGAGCAGAAAAAGGCAAGGGCGGAGGACGAGATTACCCTTGAAAGCAATATCTTCGCTCTAAAGGAAGCCATGGGGGAGGCGGCTCAGTTCCTGGATCCTCGGGAGCTGCGAAAGGTGTACCACACCAAGCAATGGCAGGGAAGCTGGTGGTGGTCGGATGGCACTTGCTGGTTTGCCATGGAGATTGGCACTGGCAAGGGTGCCAGGCAGCAACATTGAGGACCCACCGGCCCCGGATCGTGGTCCAGATGATGATGACGAGAATGGAGTGGAGGACATCTTTCTACTACAAGTTGGTCTATGACAGACATAAGGGCATGCTGCGCAGCAAGCTGAGGGGCCCTGTCCCAGGTGAATTCTACGGCTCGAGGACTATAGGGCTGGAGGAAGATCCTGGAAGGTCAGAGGGATCTACAATCTTGAGCTTAGCATGCTGGTCTTCCTGTCGACCAAGGCGAAGTTTCAACCGCATGCTCAAGCTGCTAGACGATGCCTATGGAGCTCGAGCGGAAGAGAGGCTTGAGGAGAAGCAGCCCTCACGCAGCGGGGGCGGATGGATGTTTTCTACAGCGTGGGCGGCGGCGCGCGGCAATCCACTTGGATGAGAAGGGCGTAGCCTATGGAGAAGATAAGAGGCCGAAGCCGCGCATGAAGAAGCATGAGCGCGACGGATGAGATCAAGAAGCCCCCAAGGAAGAAGGCCAATTTCCAGTGGAAGGGGCTGACGATGTTTGTCAAAGAGCCGAGAAGAAGAGAAGAAGTGTCCAGCAGACGTTGCACGTAGAGACAGCGGATGGAGTCGCGGAGGCGCAGGTGACCAGGGACGTTCATTGGTCTTTGGTTTGAAGAGGCGCAAGACGTTCTGCTGGCGGAAGTGCTCATTCTGCAGCTGAAGAAGAACGGCAAGGAGCTGGGCCCGAAGTACTTCGACCAGGCAAGAACGGCGTGGTCAAGCTCCTCAGCAAGCAAGAAGGTGGACCCTCGGAAGGTCTTCAAGGCACCATTGAGCATGGTGAGAACGTCGAAGCCTGGTGAAACTGGAAAGATCGCCGACTGGGTGGCGAAGTCGAGGTTGGTGGATCCAGGACAGCGGTGAGTACTGCAGCAGCAACGGTGGCGGTGCGACCACTGGGAGTTCACATTTTCACGTCACCACTGCGTTCCTCTTGGGCAAGGCTCCGGAAGACGGACTTCCGGAAGTGGAAGGCCAGAAAATTATGAGCCTTGATGATGATCCTGAAGAGCGCCTCACGGAAGTTTCGAGTTTGCGAGCCGTGGACCAGCTGACCAAGACGGAGCTGAGGGAGTTGCCGGCGGCGATGTGCAAGAAAGGAAACAATTCGGCCTATCAGGCACTGATCGCCTAGGTGATGCAAGGCAGACCCACAAAGGCGATGAAGGCGCCTTTGTTTGAGGAGTTCGCTTCCACCGGCCGCGTCGGTCTAAAAGAGACTGAGGCTGAGCAGCAGCGGGCGAGGCGGAAGGCTCGGTTCCAGGAGAAGGCAACATCTTTTGGGGTGTGAACAGTTGAGTGTTGTGGCGTGCCATATCCTGGAGCTCGTCCCCGAGCGACTGCAATTTGCATGCGCTGCGTTTTCTTTTTGGGTTGGAGGATTCTTTTTTGAGGAGGTCCCCCTTGTGGGATAAGCCCTCAATAGGTTTAACGCCCGCTCCAGTTGCCGGTGTATCCGTGTATTGTCCGTGTATCCCATTCATTTTGTGGCTTATCCGATTGTCCGTTGGTTTACCAGTTGGTTGGACCAAATCACGCACCAGTTTGCGCTTTATCCGTTGGTTTTCATTCATTTAGTGCCTTATCCGTTTCTCCGTTGGTTGACCAGTTGGTTGGATGGACCAAATCCCGCACCAGTTGGCGGTTTATTTGTTTATCCCATTCGTCTAGTGGCTTATCCGTTTATCCGTTGGTTTACCAGTTGGATGCACCAACACCCGCACCAGTTGGCGGTTTATCCGTTTACACCATTCATCTAGTGGCTTATCCAATTGTCCGTTGGTTCACCAGTTGGATGGACAAAATCCTGCACCAGTTGGGTTTATCCTGTTCATCGAGTGGTTCATGCGTTTATCGGTTTGTCTGCCGGTTGCACGAGTCGGCGATTTATGTGTTTATTCCATGCGGAACCAAGGGATAAGCGGATAAGCCACTAGATGAATTGGATAAACGGATGAAGCGCCGGTGCGGGATTTCGTTCATCCAAGTTGCATGGGCCAAATCTTGCACCAGTTGGCGGTTTGTTCGGTTATCCTATTTTTGTAGTGGCTTATGCGTTTATCGGTTTTTCTACCAGTTGGATGGACCAAATCTTGCACCAGTTGGCGGTTTATTCGTTTATACATTTCATCTAGTGGCTTATGCGTCTATAAGTTTGCGTACCAGTTGTATGGACTAAAGCCCATGCCAGGTGGCGGTGTATCCGTTTATCCCAGCATCTAGTGGTTTGTCCGTTGGTCTACCAGTTGGATGGACCAAAATCCCACACCAGTTGGCGTTTGATCCGTTTAGCTTATTCGTGTATCCATTGGTGCACTAGTTGGATGGACCAAATCCCGCACCAGTTGGTGGTTTGTCCTTTTCTCCCATTCATCTAGTGGCTTATCCGTTTATCCGTTGGTTCACCAGTTGGAAGGACAAAATATTGCACCAGTTGGCGTTGTATCGTTTATCCTGTTCATCCAGTTGTTTTTTCGTGTATCCCTTGGTTGACCAGTTGGAGTTGCGTCTTATCCGTTTATCCCATTCATCTTGTGGCTTATCCGTTGATCCGTTGGTTGAGCGTTGTATGGACCAAATCCCGCACCAGTTGTCGGTTGCCATAGGTGTTCATTCGCTGTGTCGCGCCAGGACTGCGTACCGAAGCTCCGATTCTGCGTGGACTCCATCAAAGCCTTCGACGAGCGGCTCAGGGCGCAGGTGCAACGGCCTGGTGGGGTCACAGTGTTTTGCATTTTGAGGGGGGTTAGTTTCAGATCGAAACCACGAGAACCACCAGTATTGGCATCCCCTCTTTTGGCACATGCGCAGGGGGGTTTAGGGCGATGGGTTCTCGGCTGGGGTCTGCGGTTGGAATTAGGATGGGTTTAGGGTTGGGTCCCCTTGTGGCAGAGCCTAAACGAGGATGTTTACGCAGCGGCTTCAACATGCTTGAAGCAGTCGGCCACACCCTGGTCCAGAGGTCAAGAGTTCAAAAGAGGTTTGAGCTTGGAGACGTATTCCACTTCCTGAACACAACGTGGAGCCTCAAAATTATTAAGTTCCTGAAGGAGCCTACTTTTGGAGACACCATTTGGAAACTCTGTATCGGAGTCCATTCAGATCTTGTGGCACCTCACTCTGAAAACCTCAAATGAGGCGGTCGCACTTGCAGACCACCCAAAAGACCGCAGGCGGCAGGGTTCGTAACAACCGTGCAGGGAAACTCAGAAACTAAAAGATCCTTTTGCAAAGGAGGCAAAAGGCAAATGATCCTTGCAGGAAACCACTGCAAAGTACGACTGCACCCAAATGCCGCTGTCAAAGCTACGAGGTGGACCCTGACCATGTGCAGAAGCAAACACACATACGTACATGGACGTACATGGACGTACATGGACATATGTACATACGTACGTACATACATACATTCATACATACATACACAAATACGTATACACACATACACACACACACATACACACACATACACACACACACATACACACACACATACACACATACATACATACATACATACATACATACATGGGGACATAAGTGTGTGTGTGTGTATATATATATATATATATATATATATATATATATTGCATGACACAGTGACAGCGCCAAGACTGAAGGCTGAGAGCAGGTTGCACAGACAGCAGTTCGCATTCAATGTCTGCTGTGGAGCTCCCATGTAGCTTTGAAAGAAGAGCCCTTTATTGAATGTTTTAAACGATCATCTCAAAACCATTTGGGTGTGTATCAAAATAGGGACTGTCAACCCCAAAAAAGGGCGCCCTCAAAACAACACCCACCCATTTGCAAGGCCTCCTTTCGACAAAGCCAAATTTTGAGCATAGGCAGGCACCGTATGTTGAGGGTGACTTGACTGATTTCCCGGACTGAGTCTACCTCATGTTGCCGGAGTTGGCAAGGAATGCGCTTCGCAGCATTGCAGGATGATGCTATCCAGCGCGTCGATGAGGTGCTTTTGGACAAGGCAGGATTTAGCCACTTACGAAGATGTTTGGACAGGTTGGAGATGTCGTGGATGCTTGGAGAGTTGGGGATGTATCCATGCTGGGATGCTGGTGATGCTGGTGATGCTGATGATGCTGGGCTGCTTGGGATACGCTTAGATACAGTGATGCTGGAGATGATGGGATGCTGTGATGCCATGATGCCGGGGATGCTGGGGATGTTTGGCTCCTCAGTTTGTGGAGGTTTGTGTGTTGAAATGATTTCAGCAGCCACCATCATGGCAACGACCCAGGCGGGGAAGTACGACATCGTCATCATCAACTCCAGAGTTGAGCAGTGTCTCCAGAAGGCCATGCTTGAAGTCGTCAGCTGTCCCCCTCTGTAACAGTCAGTTCCAATGCAGATGCAGGAAGCAGCGATGAAAGAGTTCCACATGCTCTATGACAAGCTGGAACGATTCAACAAAAGGTGCCCTGCGAGTGCGATGCCATAGCCATGTGCAGGATACTGAATAGATGTGTCACAGGTTCGAAGACTATGTCGAGCAAGAGAGCAAGCGCTTGGACGAGTTTCGCCCTCCTGATTATGGGCCAAAGTTTGAGGACCAGTTGAAGTGAGCTTGGCATGCTGAGTAATTGTATTGAAAGATGCTGAGGAGCTGAACCAAAAAGTTGCCCTCAAAGCCGACAAGGCCGGGGTTAGCCAAAATGATACTTCTTCGTTGCGCAAAACAGCGCGAGCCTTGCTCCAAAAAATTGGGCATGGGCTACATCGTCCGAAATGAGACGCAAGTTTCAGTCAAACAAAACACAGTAGTCAGTAGTCATTTTCCCATGTGTGTCCGGGTAGAGTCATATTTTGACCACAGCTCATATGTTGTGAGGCAGCTGTATTCCCCCCTGCTCAAATTTCAAAGAAATGCAAATCTGGTAGAGCTTTGCCTGGGTCTGTGACAAACTATGCTGGCACTGTCTCAGGCTGACCTGGTGGAGATGTACCAGTTGAAAGTGCCCTGCTTACGTCTCTCACGTTGTGTACTTTTGTCACTGGGTCATTGCCAGCCCTACGTGGGGGCGTCTTTTGGAGGGTGCCCTTGGGGTTGTAATCGGAAGCCAGGAGCAAACCACCCATTTCAGGGGTTCTGTTTGAAGCCCACCTCAGCCCGGGGATCGCCGGACTGGATGAAATTACTTCATGTCGGGCTCAGAGGTTCTGTGAAGTCCCATGGGGATCTCTCTTCATGGGGGATCTCCCTACGAAAGCGCTCACCATTCTACCCGCTGGGTACTTTGGTTAGTTGATATAGAAATTCCGCCGATTCCATTGGCGCTTGGTTTTTGAGGCCAACCGCATTGACTCGGATGAGCTGGCCAAGCTTCAGGACTCGCAAGGAAGCTACGGGAGAATGGGTCCCTAGGTGAAAATGGTCTTCCAGGACCAAGGACCTGCGGGTTAAATGGGAGGGTAGTTTGGAGGGTTCTTTGGCGAGTATGCGTTCGGTCCTTGGCATTTCAGTCAGGACACCATTCACAGACAGCTCGAGTATCTATCTGTGACGACTTTCGGCCTCAGCAAGCTCTGCCTTGCAGAGGCTTCGAGACACCTTCCGGTTTTTGAATCCAGTTGAGAAGGTTCCAGCAAACGTGGTCTGTGGTCTGTGGTCCCTTTGGTAGGGACATGGGGGGAGCTCACTCATTTTCCCCCAAGATCCTTTACTTTATGATGACCGCATATTGTCCGTGGCTCACATGTGCCATGGTGAAAGCGCGCCTGTAATTGGTAGAGAGACGGGCTGGGGTCCCATTGTGTCAAAATAGGACAACTCCCCCAAATTACCTGGCTTCAGGTTGGCTTACATTTTGGGAGTTCGGCCATGTATCCTTTTGCCCCACGAGGCCAAGCAGGGTGAGTCCAAGACGCTGCGCATGCAACAGCGGACTCAGGAGGGAACGGCTTCGGCTGGTTGGCATGAACCTCCGAAATGGGGCATGGGTTTCCATTGGGTGTCCTTCTTTTTTAGCCGGTCTGCCGGCGGGTCCACAACAGAAGATAGAAGGGTACTGTCCCAATGACTGGTCAAACTACAAGCTGCCTTTCCTTGGGTGTCAACCAACGAGTCCCACCTAGCTTTTTGCAAAGGGTACCAGCATAGCAGGGACAAGTACGGTACACTCTTGGCGAGGCTTGCCTTGATCGGAGTATTTCTCACAGGCATTGTCTTTCCGTTTGCTTGTTGTGAAACAAACCAAGATGGCAGTTCTGACTAAGTCCAAGCAATGTTGGTGTTTGGGAGAATGTAGCATGTTCATCACGGGCTTATGGCATGCTTGCTGGAGCCCCAAGGAAGGACTAGGACCGGAAGGAAGTTTGCCGATGCCCGCTTCTGGACTGGCAATATCCGGCACTGAGATACTGTGCCACTATCGCAACCGCAAACTGCCAAACACTTCGGTGGGTTGCAAACTACAAAGGGCCGCAAACCGCTTGCACAGCTACAAAGGCCCGCGAAACGCCGTGTGAAAAGGCAAATTCGCACAAGGCATCTAAAAGGCCTGATTAGCAGTTTGAAGGTGCAGGCTGACGTCAAGCGCCCCGGCACCTCAGATTTAATTGAACTCGATCGAGCCTGCCAGGTGCTGATGCAAAGCGAGGACCCGGGAATCCTTTTGCACCAAGTCGATTTCCATAGATTTTGCAGCCGTGGGCGGGAATTGGATAGTCAGTGAATTCCAAGCATCAGCGGTCCTGCAGAACCTCAGAGGATAAACGCTCAACAATTCGGGTTCCGTAGGGCGGAAATTTGACAAATGGATGTTTTCCTGTTGGTTTGCCTTCAAACGGACCCGCAGGGTAACACCTCCACTTCTTTTGGCCGAGCAACAAGTTTGGTTTTCCATATCATTCTTTTCGCGGAGGCTTCGGCCTTGGGCCTTAGGGGCGCCTGTTGGGGCCACAGGCATGGGTGCTTCTTGAGATTTGGCACTCGGACTGTCTACGCCTCATGGTACCGACCACTACTGGGTTTCGAGTTGGGTTCACAGCCTGAGATGTTGATTGCAGGCAAGAGTGTTGGGGGACAGTTGATGGCACTCAAGGTTGGTTTCCTCTTGGTTTCCCTTTAGATACCCCCAACAAGCTTTTGGGTCCGAATCCCACTTTGAGAAACCTGGGAATTGTTCCATCTACTTTGATCCAGATCTAAGCTCACATCGCCCCGAACCGATTCGCAGGCCTTGTGGCATTGGATCTTGCACAACGAGCCACCCCCCAACTTGGACACACTCAGACCGCCGCCGCTCCGCGTCCGCTCCTCGGTGGGATCCCCGTCAGCGAAAAAAGCTGGACAGCCTTCGCCATGCCGAACAAGCTTGGGGGTATCTTCCATAGATTTCTTTTCGACATAGCTCAACACTTTTGCGACGCCTATCAATCGCGCTGTCTGTTAAAAGCTTTAGCCGCGGCAGGCAGGGCGAAGTAAAAGCTTTGGCTGTTTGCTTGTCAACGTTGCAAGTTGTATCTCACTGGACAGCATCGCCTGGCAATTCAGGGCAGCCATTTAACTCAGGCATTTTTTAAAAGAAAAGTACGGCGACATGAGCTACGCAGTGAATGAACTCGCATAAGCTTTGCGCGGCTGATCATTTGGTTGGGGCCTTTGGCTTTCCAAGGGCGATGAGGGCGCGAAGAACGTGGATCCAGTCAAAGCCGAGCACATGGACCGCCAGAAACGGGCGATGGATGATCACAAAAGGACTGACACACACAATTGCGAAGCTTGCAGTGATTTGAATGGAAGGTGGATTGATGTTCCAACCTTGCGACTCACGACTTTTGCTTTCGCAAGGGATAATAATGTTCATGATCTGCCTTCAGGAACCAGCTCGAGCGGAAGCTGGGGATCTCATAGCGAGCTCCAGAGGTTGCTCAGAGCTGAAAGCTTTCTTTGCGGGGGAGCGACCTCACACTGCCCGTGGATTTGCGTTTTGCGGCCTACTGGACTGGAACTTCCTCACTGACCTTTTGAAAGGAGCACTACCCCGGCCGGACTTAAGCCTCTTTGGCTGCTCCCATTTGATCCAGATCGGGTACAACTACAACTACAAAGAATCGTTGTGCTTTTCCCAATTTGCGAATTAGGATGATAGGATTAGGTTGGTCCAAGCCTCCATTCTGAGCGGCCCAGGTTTTCGTACAATTCCCCTGTGCCTTTTGGAGCCGGTATACTAGTGTTTGGGGCAACTGTGTGGAAAACCAAGGGCAGGCGTAAAGTGGGGAATCCTTCCAAAACGTAATGTTTCTTTGGGGGCCAACCAAAGGGTCCCATTTTTTGGAACGACTCTAGAGATTTGGGCAGGGTCGCTCTGTTCCCCAAGGAGAGCCAGCGCTTCTTGCCTCATTGTTTGATCTTGTACACACTGAACCGATCATCCTGTTTCACGGCTTGGCTTGACGCGGAACTACGCTCGCCCAGCCGGTGCAAGACGCACCGAAAGCGCTTCGGGATGCCGGAAGCCAATACTTCTCAGCGCAAATAGGCGTCAGTACCCGGTGCTTCCAGTGGCTACTATAGTAGGTAACCCTTCGGTATGGCTACCTTCAGGTTTTGCATCATGGTTTTCCTGGTTGCCTACTGTAGTGCCTTGCCTGCGGCCTGCTGGAACATCTCGGCTCCGCTGGCAGCTCTCAAACATGATACGGTTGAGGAACCGGTCCGTTAACGCGGCCCCCTCAGGGAGCGATGGATGTTGCTGTGAATTTGAGCACCCCCAAGAAAATGTGGACAGACCCGATGTCAAGCACTGGGGCGCCAATTCAGACTCAAACCTCATGTGACATGTGACAGATGGTGCAAAAGGGGAATTGCCATCCCCTACCTGAAGCGCGTCCCATTTGGGGAAATGTTTTGAAGGCTCGACCCCGTTTTGGGGTTGCTTTACAGGGGAGCCAAAAGAGACGTCCATTTACTCCCCCATCTAAAGACAATCCCATGTGCAAATTCATTTGCAGAATGCTGAGGCGCCGGCTTGAATGGCGCGCAATGTTCCTCCTACGGAGGAGACTGCGTGTGACAGGTAGCCCTCAACTTGATAGGATGGACACCTTCTCCGCCAACAGCCATCCATCACTTCTCAATTCTCAAGCCTTATTTGGCGGGTGGGGTGGGTTCCCTTTACAGTGCAATTTAGAGGCTTGCTTTTGGAGGATGTCACTTGATCAGCAGAGGAAAACCTCATGTTTGTATCTTGCATCTGCGAGATCGGACTTTCAGGGCATTGCGGCCATTGCCTGAGGCTAGGCTGAACCATCTTCACTGTCTTCACTTGTTGCGAAGCCTGAGCTTCGCCGCCAAAACCGGCTCAAGTCTTCGCGGTTCCTAGCTTATCCTCTTGCGCGGAGTTGCTCTCCGTTAACTTGATGTCTGCAGCATAGGGGAAGCCCGTCGATGGTTGTAGGGCCACTTTCTGCGACAGGGACTTCCCCTTTCAAGTTGCAGCGTCATTTGCACGCAGCCCGTGTTGGGGGTTTGACCATTGGGCACCACCCAAAACACGCAACCTTTTTCACGCGGGCAGAGTTCCTCTGGTCATGAGGCCGCAGGGAATATGGATCAACGGATCAACCCACGTCTTGCAGGAGCTCCATTCGATCCACGGGCTCAAACCATCCCAGTACGGCGGATGTGCCTCTCAACATGCGGAGTCAGCTGGTGCGTGAATGCCCCCCGGCTCGTATGGCTTGAGGATTGCGTCTCTTGACTACCAGGTCCACATCTCAAAATGAACCCTGGGAACCCCAAACCTCTGGCCTCTCCAACCTAAAAGTTGCCGGTCGGGTCAGAGGCTTGCCATCTCGCGGGCGAGGGGGCGTTCGGCTTGACGCCCCGAGGCTGCCACTTCGAGCTGGAGCAGAACTTCCAAAAGCTGAAGCTCATTGGCCAAGGTGCGTGGACCAACGCAACATGAAACCAGGACATGGCGCGTTTTGTGTTTCTTTTCTTCAAAAACTTAATTTCCCCTGTTCGGATTTGTTTTTGCTGTTTTTTTTTTTGGGAGGGGGCACGTGCACCAAAAGAAGTGGGCTTCGTGCATAGGTATGGGAGTCAGGTTTACTGACCGGGGACTGTTCCCTTTTGGGCTTTGTGGGCCTTCCATGATTTCAGGTGGAGGCAACAACGCTTAGCATAGGTTCGAACTTCGATTCGCCTTTGTTCACGCAGAACTAGGATGTAGTGACCGTCCTTTGCCTGAACTAGCGCTGCTGCAATTGCTGCAGAAGCGGCTGGGCCGCAGTGGTTGCATTGTCTGCGCGGCAGTTTAGATTACTTGGCATTTTCCATCTTGGCTATGTCATCAAACCCGGCGTGGTTTTTAACACATGCCTGTTTGGGCTTGTCTCAGAACAGCGGAGCAAAGTTTGTTAAAACCAACCGCCCCAAAAGGTAACCTTAACACAAAGGCCTGCCCATTTTCTAACATGCAATCAACTACCCCCAAACCGCGGCCCGCAGGGCTGGGAGGGCTGGGAGTGGTTTGGGTTGGAAACCATCTCAGACATTGGGGTTTACGTAGGCTAAGACAAGAGCTGAGTCTCGGCGCGTTTTTCGGGAGGTTCCTACGGTTCTGTGCACCTGCTCCGCGAGAAATCCTCCGGCCGCCGTTTGGCCGGTGGCCTGGAGTCGTCGAAACGTGGGCGCATTGCCGTGAACATACTGAAGGGTTATCGAGCTTATTTTTGGTTTTGCCTTCAAAGAGAAGGGTAAGTTTCAGGATGGCACCTTGATGGACCTGCAAGTATCAAGTGCTTGCTTCGGGGTGTTCTTTGCATAAGGGGCTAGTGGGTGGAGTCCAAGTTGGTGGCTGTACAAAGTGCCTTTGGGTCAGCTCAGCACCATGATGGTTTCTCCTTTGGTTTTCCCTTTGGCACCCCGGGAAAAGGGTTCCGAGCCTCAGAAAACCAAGCACCCACACAAAAGCTGGCAAATCCCTATTGGGATGACGTGTCCGTGTAAGCCCTGAGCGCCTCGCCGGAACCTGTCGGCCCAGGCGTCGAAGACTGTGAATCGGCGCGGACCTCAACTGCGTTACGAGGACCTTGTGCCAAAAATCGAGCAATGACGTGTGTGTCTGTGTGTGTCTGTGTGTGTCTGTGTGTGCCCGAGTCCCTGATAGGCTCAGGGACCAAGCTTTTTCACGGGAACAGGCCCATCGTGGATACCTCCAAGCTGTTCCGCGAGGGATGGGTGGCCTGATCACCCACCCGTACTTGCGGAAGTGCGACAACGTCCTTTTGGCCCCTTTTTGTTTCGTCTCGCTGTGTGTTCTTCTTGTTAGATTCAGTACTGCACCGTTTTGCCTAGAGGGAAGGCACTCAGAGCTGACCAGCTTGCAATGGGAAGGAGTGTCAAACATTGCTAGCATCTTAGGACTTAGGAGGGCCCAGTGGTTTCCTTTGCTGGGTGTTTTGACACAGAGTGTGGCATTGCACGGTCGAGAGGAGCAGTTCCGATCTTTTTGTACTGGGTTCAGTTGGAGCCACACTGTGTAAAGCTTTGCCAAGCCACAACAGTCAAGAATGTCAGTCTTTGAAGACCTTTGAAAGCCAAACAGAAGTGTCCAGGGACCAACGGTGTCCGTTCTAGTGTAAATGAAGAGTAAGAAAGAGAGCTTTGACAGAATCCCATGCGTGTTCGAGCTTTCGCCCTGCGCTTTGAAGCGCAGATCCGAATGATTAGGGTCATGCAGCACAAGCAGGTCGCTTGAATCGCACGCAGCTCCTCTTCAAAATTAGCACTAGGACAGTAACCACCGGCGCACGAGCTTTGCTTAAGCCAGAGACGCCAACTGTTCATGTGCTCTTAGCATAATGAATACTTGTAGTCCTGAATGCTTAGGCAACGTGAGTCTTAAAACACGATTTGACTGGAAAGTAGTTTCATTGTTGAGTCGCGATTCAAGGGATATGGCTACGAATATTACTTGCTGGAACACCCTCGGCAATGGTTGGTGGACATCTTCAGGCCGTAAATGATGTCCACCAAACAGGTCCGCTCTGAAAACTTACTCTCATATGGAGGCTTCTCACATTTCAGTCTTGGTGGCTTCGCAGTCCTTGTGGTTTTCCTTTGAAACCATGCAACTTGATCCTCTATTTTGAGATGTGCACATGGGTGTGTCTCAAAATTGGGGCCTCCCAAGAATGACCGGTTTCCTTTTGCACCCATTTGACTGGATGTCACGACCGGCTTGCTGTGAGGCCTCAAGGTTGGACAAGAGAGCGCTTTCGGCTGGAAGGCGCGACCGGTGCCTAAAACCTCAGAATTGGGGAGGGCCCTTGTTGAGTTTCGCAAAGAAGGCCATCTCTCTTGGTTTTAGTTTCTGAAAGAAGCCCTTTCGCCGTCGTTTGCAGGCTTGCCTTCAAAATCAACAACAAACAGGCGTAGTCTTGTTTTGCATGGCTATTGGAGTTGTGGGAAGCCTGGCCGTCGTTGTCCTGTTTCCGTTGGCTGGTGCAAGAAGGGAGTGACCCAGATAGATGAGTTATGGTTTGGACCAGCAGGACAACTGATTGGGGCAGGCGAGCCAATGGTTTCCGTTGTTTCTTGTTTCAACAAGCCCTCATTGTCCACGCGGCAGGGCTCTGGTGATGATGGCCTTTCCATCCACCATATCCGCCCTGCTATGAATCAATTCCATCTTGACTAGAGAAGACTGAAGAAGGAGGTTTGGAGTGGAAGTCTTCAGGTACTTCGGATTGGTTGCTCGGATTTACCGTTGAGATCATCTACCTGTTGTTCCTTCATGGTGTAAGCAGGTACGCGTTGTGGTCTGAAAGCCAGCGAGAGAGAGAGAGAGAGCGAGAGAGATTGAGTTCGTGCCAGGCGCACTGTTGCAAAATCTTGATCACCCGTCCCGTGGTCGCAATGGGCCGCGAAGTTTTGGCACACTTTGGCATCTTTCGTTTTTTTTTTTTTTTTTTTTTTTTTTTTTTTTTTACGTGGCCACGCTTTTTAAAGCGGGCTTTTTGGGTTGTTTGAAAGG